TAATCTATGAAGCCATTACCATGGCGGTCTTAGTATTTAATTCATGAAGCCATTCCCATGGTGGTCTTAGTACTTAATCCAAGAAGCCATTTCCATGGTGATCTTAGTACTTAATACATGAAGCCATTTCCACGGTGGTCTTAGTATTTAATACATGAAGCCATTCCCATGGGGGTCTTAGTATTTAATCTATGAAGCCATTACCATGGCGGTCTTAGTATTTAATTCATGAAGCCATTCCCATGGTGGTCTTAGTACTTAATCCAAGAAGCCATTTCCATGGTGATCTTAGTACTTAATACATGATTGCATTCCCATGGTGGGCTAGTTTACTGTACTTAACTGTGATACCTTGTGTGTGAATTTCTGAAAAAGTATTTTTTTTTGCATCCTACATTGGAAGGTTTTATATCTGATATTTAATGAACAGATTGCACTAATGAACAATTTTAGTAAAAAAAAATCTTGGACCCTATAAGTGTTATTAAATGTAACAGGTCAACAATACTACAAACACCTTTGTAAGTGTGATTAGGAATAAAAATTTTGAAGGTCTTAGTTTATTTTATTTTTTATTTAACAAGTTTCAAACTAATTTTATTTTCTGTACATGTTTATTCTTTCGCTGTTCTTAACAGTCCTAAAATGTGTTTTAAAGCCACTTGAAAATATTTGAAATATACGTGTAACTGATATCCTGTTTAGGATTACTTGAAAACAATCCAAAACCTTCTTTCTGAATAATTAATACACTAAAATTAATTACGTCTAAAGTTAACAATTTCAGGTAATAGCTTTTAAATGAATCACAGCTGCAAATGACAAACTGTTTTAGTTTAAGGCTAAGCTAAAGTTCTTATTGGTCTATCTGTAATGAATAAATATGATTTCTTAACTCAATTCCTACCCATTCACCCTTACAACGGGCTTAAAGTTAAAGGTCTGTCTACTGTTTTTGAAGTATACAGAGTACTAATTAACACCAAGTTCTTAATCATCGATTACCGGCAAACATAACCATTCAAACTCCCACAATAGCATTAAAGCTCCTTTCACAAATACAGAGAAGTCAAAGTGCTTCTGGAATAGTTTCTTTAATGCAAGTTGATATTATTCATCACACAAACATCAAGTAGTTGAAGGCTGCCCTAAAAATTCTAATGTTTACTATGTTCTTTGAGGATTGCAAAAACAAGACAAAAAGTTAGTTTTAAAGAAAAACTGGAAGTTTATTTTGATAACATTCCTATTTTTTTACTTTTCCAAGGTGGTCCCAAATATAACAATTTCCTAAGTATAAAATCAGCCTGTAATTATATAAAAAAAAAAGAAATACAAAAAGATGTAACACTCACACTATTGAAAATCAATAAAATTTTAATTAAAATATGTTTTGTACCAACAGAGCCAATGTATTATTAGTTTATATAATCTAAACAATCAAACATAATAGTTTCTTTTCTACAAATCAGTCAAATACTTAGCTGTCTCTACATTTCTTAACATCAGTCACCTATTTTTTTTTTCTTTTAATAAAAGTCCAGTTTTTATTCTTCTGCAAGCTTTTTCCAAAGGACTGTATTATCTTCTAATAACTTCAGTAAAATGAGCAAATTCAAGAAGTAGTCATCTCATCTGGTAAAACACAAAATAATAAAAATTTTAAGTTTTGTTCTGTGTCAACACAACACAATTTGTCGTACAACCTTAATAAAAGAAAATACAGTAGAAAGTTTTTATGTACATGTTGTAATACGAACTCATCTAATCTATACTGCATTTTTAAGTTCACTTATGGTTATGGTAAGTTCTTACTCAGTGGTACTTACACTTGCAGTAAATAAATAAACGTTTAATTATATTAAAGCATCACAAGTAATTTTGCATGATTTGCTTATGAAAAGGATGTACTGTACAACTGTAAAAATTCTGAACAGTACATTTGTATTCAAGTTGTAGTCATATATTTCCGAAAATAGTTCTACATAACCAAATAATTTTATATGCACAAGTAAATGGCAGTACCACATTTCATCATATAAAGAACTAAGATAAAAAGGGGAAAAACTTGATTGAGATGATTTGCTAACATACAAAATTGGTTTTTAAATTTGCTACTAATCTATGTAGTAATATTTTAGGAAATGTTTGTTTGTTATGGATTTCGCACAAAGCTACACGAGGGCAATCTGCGCTATCCGTCCCTAATTTAGCAGTGTAAGACTAGAGGGAAGGCAGCTAGTCATCACCACCCACTGCCAACTCTTGGGCTACTCTTTTACCAATGAATAGTGAGATTGACCATCACTTTATAATGCCCCCACAGCTGAAAGGGCGAGCATGTTTGGTGTGACGGGGATTTGAACCCACGACCCGCAGATTGCGAGTCGAGCACCCTAACCACCTGGCAATGCCGGGCCTTTAGGAAATGTATAAATACAACTTGAATACAAACTTCTATAATTTTTACAAATGTGCAATATATCCATTTCATAATCAAATTATACAAAATTCACTGGAGTACTTTAATATGACTAACATTTTTATACGTTACAAAACTTATTATACACACTAATTCCCTTTAAAAAATCAGGGTTGTTAAGTAACTATGTTAAAACGACTGACTAAAACACTCAGTTATATAGATTAAGATGTCGGTTTAAAAAACAGTAATATTCATTTACCACATTAAAATTAGATCAATTCACTTTAATAAAATTAGTTTTACACAAGAAAGCAGGATCATATATTTTGGAAATTATCAAAATTAAATGAATCTATGCATACAAACACAAAATGCATTACTGATAACTGAGTATAATAGTTTTTAGTAATATTTTCTAAAAAAAACTTCAGTGTTATTACTATTTTAAATGTAATAGTTATTAACTAACTGCTTTTTCTGTGTGTTAAGTTCTTACTTACCACTTCCTAAAACAAGTAGCAGATATTAGATTATATTGTTTTTGATAACTATGAAAATATCAGGTACTTGGCTGCCAAATAAGTGCTAATATCACCGAGTATCTCGCAAATGGCCAAAGAGGTTTGACACTAAATATTATCAAAGTGAATATCCATCTCTACCCCTCTTCTGACACTTTAATAAACAATGTGAACTGAATGATGAAAAGTTGTTCTATTAGTTTAACTAAACTGTCCAGCTCAAAACCACTTTTCTAGGTGGACAACTAACTTGGGATTTACTAATATCTTTTGGCTAACTATTGAAAATATATTCTTATCAACAACTTTCAATCACTCAATTCAGTTAAACAAAAGTACAAGGGATTTGTAACCAAATTATAAGTACTTCTTAATTACTTCATTGTTAAAATTAAAAACATATGTTACTATATTTCACTCACATGCTACTTGTTCTTATTTTAATATCTAAAATTTATTATAGCTCCCATGAAAATTCCCATATAAATCAGGAGTGACAGTGGATAGTTTAACTTTCCTCAACTAAAAGTTTATTACAGCTCCCATTAAAAATGATTAAAATTCCAATATAAACCAGGATGGCAGTGGATTGTTTAACCTCCCCCCCCATCTAAAATTTATTATAGCTCCCATTAAAAATCGTTAAAACTTCCACATAAATCAGGAGTGACAGTGGATTGTTTAACCTCCCCTATCTACAATTTATTATAGCTCCCATTAAAAATCACTAAAACTCCCATATAAACCAGGATGACAGTGAATTGTTTAACCTCCCCCCATTAAAAATCATTATAACTTCCACATAAATCAGGAGTGACAGTGGATTGTTTAACTTCCCCTATTTAAAATTTATTATAGCTCCCATTAAAAATCACTAAACCTCCCATATAAATGCGATTGAGAGCTGTTCTTTACCCTTAAGGTTAACACGCAACTCAATTTACATGTGTGATTTACAAAAGCAGTGAAACTTCAAGGATAAAATATAAATCATAAAACACTGATTTAGACATAAACTCGAGTTAAACAACATGAATTAAGACTAACTAACAGCAACTCAAATACTTAAATTGCAATGTTTTATCCCATTTGCTAGAATAAAATGCTTCAGCTTTCACTTAATTATCTGTGGCAACTTTTTATTGCCTTCAGATGCTGTAAAATATCTGACCTAATAAACTCTCAGCAATGCTAGCAAGAACTTTACACAATTGTGTGATTGAAATGAAATTAATGCACTTTTCTTTAGGCAAGTTACAAAAAAATTTAAAATGATTATTAGATTCAATGTTAGGTTTTATCACAGACTTTAGTTTAATCAGCCAAGATGCTGTACAGTTACAGTTTAGTCTGCATTCCAAGATTATTTAAATTATGAAATTAAAGACAATGATCAACAATATAAGCAAATAAAATGTATCTTGTATAATTTAATTGTTTTATGAATACTTAGGAGGCAAAACATTAGACCTATTTTAAATAATCACAACTGAACTGACCTTCATAAAAAAATTTTCGCTATCCAAATATACTGTTTTTTTTTCAAAAATATTATAAACACTTGTTATCAACTTTAACATTCAAATTGTACTAAAGGTTCTGTTAGTGAAGAAGAGAAAAGTGATGTGTATACACTTAAGGACTTGAAATCCGTCTTGCTAGAAATTTCTTGTTACTATATTAATCTAGAACGTGCAGGTGTTGGGTTAGAAATGTTCTGTTTTATAAGATTTGAGATACTCTTTTTTTAGATTTTTTGTATGATAGTAAAACAATGTGTTCTAGGTTAAAATGACACACACACACACAAAAAGAATTACCTCCTAAAAGATATTTATTTACTAAGGTACTGGTCAATTTTTTCAGTCATCTCAGGTATAGCCTTAAATAGGTCAGCAACCAGCCCCAAATCTGCAACCTGGAAAATTGGAGCTTCTTGATCTTTATTGATAGCCACAATGGTTTTAGAGTCTTTCATTCCAGCAAGATGTTGAATAGCTCCCGAGATACCCACAGCTATATAAAGTTCCTATGAAAATATTGGTCTGATTAGAATTTGTAAAGTTTTACAAATCAAATAACAATACGATTTAGTTATCTATCTTCACAAGACCTGACACATTAATAGTGCAAGTAGTATTCTAATAGCAACTAAAATACTAGTGGTGTGTTTGTGGCCATTTCACTAATTAAAACACTAGCAGCATGTAGGTAATTATTATAATAACTGAAATACTAGTAGAGTGTAAATAGTCACTTTAATAATTGAAACACTAGTAGAGTGTAGATAGTCACTTTAATAATTGAAACACTAGTTGAGTGTAAATAGTCACTTTAATAATTGAAACACTAGTAGAGTGTAGATAGTCACTTTAATAATTGAAACACTAGTTGAGTGTAAATAGTCACTTTAATAATTGAAACACTAGTAGAGTGTAAATAGTCACTTTAATAATTTAAGTAGCGTAGATACTCACTTTAATAACTGAAACACTAGCAGAATCTAGGCAGTTATTTTAATAACTGAATTATTATTAGTGAGAATGACCATTTTTTTAATACCTGACTTGCTAATAATATACATGGTTATCTTGATAATGTTCATTACAAGAAAACAATACTAAACAAATGCTAACAGAGAAGTGGAAATAACTTACTGGTGCAACAATTTTACCAGTCTGACCCACTTGAAGGTCATTTGGCACAAATCCAGCATCAACAGCAGCTCGAGATGCTCCAACAGCAGCACCCATTTTATCAGCCAGATCATAAAGAAGCTTAAAGTTGTCTCCACTTTTCAGACCTCGTCCTGGGAAGTTAACAAGCAGTGTCACAAAAATCATTTTTAATACAACCATGAAAAAAAGCAAACACAAACTGATATTATGCCCTTGTTTCTTAAGTTTCAAGTAAGTCAAAACTAAAAATATTAAAACTATTTTGTTCTAAACTTGATATAAAAAACCCTTAAGTACTAAAGATACCAAATTAAGCTTAGCAATTAGACAAGTATAAAGAATATATAATATGTAAGTTTACAAACAAAATACACATATCTGGAAAGCACTATGAAGGAGTCCAAAAAACTTCAATGTATCAATCAGGCAACATATATATGGGCAGAAAGTGAAGCCTAGCAAGTTAAAACAAAGGCTGTATAGTTTGGCTATATTGTTTCATTAATAGGGAGGCAATATTTGTCTAAATATTTATAAGAACAGAGAGCAATTACAATTATTTTTTGATATATCTAAAATTCAGTACCATTTCAAGTAAAAATACTGAACTATGCATAATGGTGTTCCTAACCAGTTCACTATGAGCAAATAAGACTAAAAGCATTTAGTATCAAAAGCTGCTGCAAATTAAGAGTGAAATAGTATAATGAGTAATTTAAGGGTAAACATTCTGATAATAAAATGTGCTTACCTTTGCACATTTAAAGAAAAAAAAAGGAAATAAATATTTTGTTTTTGAAGAGGTTAAAAATTTACTAAAAAACATAAAATCACAATTGTAAAGATATTAAATAATATTACACCAGATGTAACAATTTGTAATATATCTATCACATAAAAACACATACCCCCAGACACAACAGTCTTGGCACTAGTAAGCTCTGGTCTTTCACTCTTGCTAAGTTCCTGACTAATCCATTTTGTTAGTTCCCAACTAAGGTCAGCTTGAGGTGCTGTATAATGATTACAGTGACTTTAATTACAAGTTTGAACTAGTTACTTTCCAAAACTATACTTTTTGCAAACTTGTACTTTCAAATTTTAAATAATAAATATGCAAATTTAGTGATGATGTTAAGCAACTCTTTGTTGTAACAAATACCTTTAAAACATTTCTCTTAATATTTCTTAAATCTGGTTGTAGTACAGTTTAAAAAATAAATCAAACAGTATGATAAAAATGACGATAAAATCAATATTCTACATTAATTTACTTTTGAAAAAAATGTGGTTTTTACTGTATCAAATTGTGGTTGAATCTAAAACTCTTAATTTTGTCAAAGAAACTTAATTCAAAACATAAATAAACAGTCTTGAAATCAATCAATGTTAAATACATTAAATATTTCAAACAGTAAATATTGCAAAATGGAAAAAAGAGAACCAGGTTTTGCATCTCAAGTCTGACAGTTAATTGGCTGTTTCATTACAAAGTTTTTGCAGTTCTAGATTTAAGTTCAGCAAGTGTATATTTAATGGAATGATAAATATCATACTAGATGTACTTCCACAGGGTCCTCAAAAGTGTCCTCTTTCAGAATAAATAAAGCAAAAATTAGTAGTTACAAATATTTTTATTTCTTGCTTTTGAAGTTCATGTGTTGTAGCCTACAGAGTGTATAATTCTTCTCGTGATTCATGGCATGCATACATTTTGCTGACATCACGACAGTACAGATTGCAGCACTAAGCATCCCTTATGTGATGTCATTTTAGTGTCTACTGACTGACTGACAGGCAACACACTACTATCCAGTGGTGTGAGTGGTTAAAACAGGTGACCTTTCCAGGCAGTCATTGGACCCCCTTACAGGGAAGTGAAATTAAATGAAGCATTCTTTTGCTCTTAACAGGAAATTAAAAGATAAGAAACATGCACATCATTTACATTTTGAAAATATGATTTAGAAACAAATGAAAATCTATATTTCTGTGTCTTGGGTTCTTATATTTAGAACACAATTATCTATCAAAGTTTAAAGAGGTTAATATTTCATTATATAGGTCACTGTTTAGGCCACATTTGAAGTACTGTGTTTAGTCTTGGGCCTCCTTACCTTAGAAAGGACACTGAAATGTTTGAACGAGTTCATAGGATGGGCTAATGGAATAATACCTGGGATGGAAAGGTTGTCATACAAAGACAGATTAAGATTTCTGAAAGGATTTTCTCTAGAAAACAAGTTACAGGGGATCTGATGGAGGTGTTTAAGATTGTTAAAGAAAACGACAGTTTTGATGCATCATTTTTTTTTTCGTACTTAATGGTCGGACTAGTGGACAAAAATACAAATTTTGGCATGGTAGTAGTCATTTTAAGCTAAAATAATTTTATTTTTCTAACAGGGTAGTTAACCTTTGGAAAGGGTTGCCTTCAGATGTGGTGGATGCAGTACATTTAAGGAAGTTAAAGGGAAGGCTTGATAAATATTTGAATGATAAGGACTGGCTTTGAGTGTTTTATTTTTATTCTAAAGTTTATTTTACTAATGGGACAGCCCATATGAACCAAGATGTCCCTTGGAGACTTTAAATTTTATGTTATGTAGAGTGAAAATTGAACATAAATAATCAGTTTTGATTTTTCCTAAGTAAAAACAAAAACTTAAGAATTAACCTAATAAACCTATTAATTAGTTATATACTTTATGTAAATTTACCATTTTCTGTTGGAGCTTCTGTTGAGACCAATGGACAAGCCTCAAAACATGTGCCTCGAACGGAGATGACCTTTACTGGATCTTTGGCTCTGATGGTGGTGATGGCATTACCTGTTAGTAGAGTCAAAAATATAAAAAAACTCAGCAAGTAGCTTTTTCACAGAAGTAATAGCTTACACTTCAAAAATTGACTTTTTTTCTCCTGTTGACTAAAAACTGTAAATTAACATTTTACCAGAGATGTCAATTTGGCTTTATCTTGTGACAGTAACTGTCTCTAATCCATTCTTGCACAAGTCCCGTTTTCACTTTTTTTACTCCTAAACCTGAAGCTATACACTGATGGCCAAAGCAAGATGCAGATGCTATACACTCAAACTATTACTCACTAACAAAGGTGGTTTTTTATAATAGAGTAAAAACAAGACAATGGAACTTTCATAACACCCTTCTTCCTCTTTTTAAAAAAATGATTTTTAATTTTGACGATAAGGTTTCAGATAAATAGATACAAAAACTATAACAAATGATGCAAAAAAAGCTTGTGGTAAAAAATTCATAGTTTTTTCTTTCAATCATTGTATTATTACAGTTATCTCAGAGTTCAAAAAATACAAAAGAAAATATATTCTTGCTTAACATAATTTCCAATATTATTTGTCAAATAACAAATTCTCACCCGCATAGATGGCCCTTACAAAGGTATCGGGACTTTTGATGTCTAAGATGTCTGAAATTGGAGAGACGTCCAACTTTGCTCCAATACGAGGTATCAAACTCTGCAATATAGTCGAAATAAATGTAATATCACATTATGTACACACAAACTGATACCGCTCAAAATATTATTTGATAAGCTGAAAGATTCTTTTAACTTCAAAGTTAACATAAGTGTGAACACATAAACATAAGAGGTACATTGGTAAGCTTCTAGATTACTCTAGAAACGATAATCTCCTTTCCTGTCATACTAGAATCACACCAAATATGCACCCATCTTTACAGCAAAGAACCAGAAGAATGTTTAAGTTTGATGAACCAAGCATTCAGTTTAATATTTTTGGTTTAACATGTGCAAATTTTGCACAAAAGAACTAGCTGGACTCAAAACACTAACAGTTTGTGATTTTCCACACATAATTACAAAGGTGGTATGAGAAAATGTTATATTGCTGCTTTGCCCAGTTAAGTGAGTATTTCAAAGTCCAACCAGAATATAGTCAAGTTAACTGCAATAACCCACAGCAAAATACCACACAGTTAGTCAATACATTACCAAAGATTTCCAACAAATATATCCAGAACATCGACACTGTTGTCCTACATGAAGCTACATATCCTGGGAATATTTACCAAAATATTATTCTGATGTGTAAACTTTAGTTATCAGCACATTGAGCTGTACCTATTTCAGTGATTAACATACCTTATACATGTTTTTTTTAACATGTAATACATGAAAATGGTCAATATATTCATGTATACGTAATACAGTTCAAAAGATCAAATCAACTGTAACAAACTAAAAATAACACATTTACAAAGAGCTCAAGAACAAACTATATGAAATCCATAAATCCTGCAAATTTTGAAGTAACTTAAGAAATAATACACACACACAGACACGGGTAAGTGAAACAAAAATATACCTTTCCAAATGCATCAGCACCAGCAAAAATGTGGGTGAAATTGAACTGCTTTTGGCATGCCAAAACAAGAGATGTTACTCTTTCTGAAAAAAAAAAAAGTCTGTAAAATTTCTAAATTAAATTATTATCGTTAATAATCCCATTGAATGCAAAGTGAAATTTAAAGGCTCTGATGCTAAAAAATAAGAAACATTTGGTTTTAGTAGTACTTACATTAGTATTCCTATTAACAAGATTAAAAAGAGACTTTTATCATCAATTTTAAGCAGTATACTTTTTACTTGACAACACATTTATGCCATTCAACCAACATGTCTTTCAACAAATACAAGAAATACCCATGGAAGGTAACTTAGCCCAAGAGTTGTAGACCTTCCATGAGTATTCCTTGTATCTACAACTCTTGGGCTAAGTTACCTTCCATGAGTATTCCTTTTATCTACAACTCTTGGGTTAAGTTACCTTCCATGGATATTCCTTTTATCTACAACTCTTGGGTTAAGTTACCTTCCATGGATATTCCTTGTATAGCTTAGCCCAAGAGTTGTAGATAAAAGGAATACCCATGGAAGGTAATATAGCCCAAGAGTTGTAGATACAAGGAATACCCATGGAAGGTAATATAGCCCAAGAGTTGTAGATACAAGGAATACCCATGGAAGGTAACTTAGCCCAAGAGTTGTAGATACAAGGAATACCCATGGAAGGTAACTTAGCCCAAGAGTTGTAGATACAAGGAATACCCATGGAAGGTAACTTAGCCCAAGAGTTGTAGATAAAAGGAATACCCATAGATTCTAATCTATATAAGTAGCTTGCTTTGATCTGAAGTTAATGACTGAATAATTTGTTTCTAGATATTTAATATCAGGCACTAGACTAAAATGCACCTGTACAAGTAACAAATGTGACTTCTTGATAAAGTGTTAGAAAATACAAAATTACACATCTTTACATTTGCAAGAATTAGGTAAGTAACATCTGCCACTTTGATAAGGTTTCCTTCTGGTTATCACTTATAGCTGTTACCAAAGTTACAAAGTTATGACTATTACATTAAGTTATCACTTATAGCTGTTACCAAAGTTACGAAGTTATGACTATTACATTAAGTTATCAATTATAGTTGTTACTAAAATCATGGTTATGGCTAGTAAAATTAATGTACTCGGTGCTACAATAGCATGCAGTTTACACAAATACTATCATCATCACCATTTTAATGATTCACTAAAACATAATTTCTTGCTAAATGATTTAAATCTATCCACGTTTTTGTTCAGGAAATAATAATAATTTAATAAGTAGTGTGTTCTAAAAGAGTATCTTGAATTTAGGTTTTGATTGTTGGAACTTATTTCATTTCAATTATATTTGCCACAAAAACATTATGTAATGGTATTTTGTACTTTATTAGTTTAAAAGTGTTATTTATAATAACTGGTGCCAATTGCACATAAACGAATCTTAAAACGGTAATGATAATAGTATTCGTGTAGACCACATGTTAGAGTAGCACCGTGTACTCTTTCATAGGAGACTTGTAGATTAAGATTTTAAAGAAAATTTAGGAAATGTTTTACAAATTAGTAAAACTGGCTTTTATTGGGGAAGTTCAACTATAATTAATGCTACAGAACCAAAGGAAAACTCATAAAAAATAAAACTGGAAGTTTACCTTTGATATGGGCCAATTAAGTACAAGGCTTCCAGATAGGAGTCGTTTGACAGTACAATACCAGACCACATATACATACAATCATAAATACTTCCAAAGATATTCTGTACTAACCATTTTCCTCTACTGTCAAACTATCATTCCACATTAAGCTTGGGCACAACGTGATATAAAAGAAGTGTCTGATTGCAGGAAAAACTTGTGCTCCTGTTAGTAGTGCTAATATTATACTCTCCTACCCAAATACACATCTAAATTTTAAAGGAAAAGGTGTGGACACATATACTATTATATCTATTGTTTGAGTTGTATATAATTCTTCCTTACCTGGCAATGTACCCTCTAAAACTGAGTCTTCTGCTATAAGTACCTTGCCTATACCTTCAGCTTTACACAATTCTGAGACAACCTGTAACACAAGTCCAGTAAGAAACAACTAAAACAACATTTCAAATAGAAAACCATGTGGTTTGAAAAAGAACTGCTTATGACATACAACATTAATCTTAAAACATAATTATAAATGTTACAAGCTTGTTCATTATTACATATACGATCTACCTCTTACAACAATAAAACTTAGGCAGTAAGCAAAATGTTCAATTTTAAAAAAAATTAAAACACAATCTTGTAGAATGTGCAGGTTTGTCACCATAAAAAAAAAAGAATTTCACAAGTTGTACTAAGTCAACATTAATAAATTCAACATCTTCATTTTTTATCTCATATGTGAAATCTGAAAAATAGAAAACCAAGAAAGACCCTAGAGGTTTAAATGATTTTGTTGGGTTCCTTTTGATCAACCTTTTGAAAATGATCAAAACCCCAAAATTTATTGGGTTCATACCATTCTACTTTATTCAAAATGAAGTATGTTGGTGTTGTAAGCTAAATTTTCAATATTTTAATTTAGATGTTTGTTAAAAGAAGCTAATCATGATGAGGATGATGCAATATATCTAGAATGTTCACAAAATTTAAGAATCTTCAGGTGAAGAAGCCAAAACATAAGTTTCCTTTTCTTTCATTGGGCAGTTGCAGTCCACTAGAGTTTTTAGGCCTACAGACATACATATTTGTTTTATGCATGCTTATTAGGTTAGATAAAATTACTTGTGTTGGTAGTTTTAATGCAGTTCTTAAATCTCGCATTTTCTTCTCCTTTATCTAGAAATAATAATAGTCTAATCAAAATCATAAAAATAATTCTGCATTTTCATCGACATAGGTTGAGTAAGTGAAGTTTTAATACGAGATAAAGGATCCAAGTTCAGTTTTTTAAGAGTTTAACCTTTCTGGGGTGCTCATACAAACTTTGAGATTCTGCATTAGCTTTATCACATTAAAATAATTTGGTGACATTTCTATACAACAGTAGTTACTAAAAAGGATCAGTGTAATTGAAATGTATTTGTATATCATATATAGTGAGTCTAAGTCTTAATAAACAAACATTTATTGTAACACAGCTTAATAAATCAGAAACCTTTTATATTTTTTGAAGGATCTGCTAAAATTAACTCAATGATTGTAGCCAAAATGGACAAAAATCTGTAGTCAAGAGGGTCAATAGTTCAGCACAGACAATAGAATTAACATGGTCAAGGCTTTTAAATACCCCTCATACAGTGATGAAGATTCTTCACCTGACTCAAAAGAGTCTGAAGACAACAATGATGATGATGTTGATGAAGAGCCACAAGAAGTTCTGCAATTTTTGCTTAACTCTCTCACTACGGGCTCGGTCCCAGGGACCAACCTCATAATCATTTTGTGCTTGTTATAGTTTTCATACTACAAGTTTTAATACAGTAAATGTATGTTCACAAACTTTAGCAGACTTTTAGTAAACAAGTCTTGATGAAGTATTTTTACTAAAGATTTGTCCGTGAATATATATTTCTATATATAGTCTGCGCGTTAAGTGATTTCCACATTAACATTAAAAATATTTTTCCTCTGAAAAATCTCAAATTTTATTTGCATATACTTTTAAACATCCTAAGTACATTTCAATTTTTTTTTTCAGTAAAATTTTATATATTTTATCTGTTATTTTCTCTATCCTAACTTTATACTAGGTAAGACAATTTGACTGACCTTGTAACCACCTAAAAAAAAATTGAAATAAAGCTAAATTACCCTTTTATCTTTCTAGAATGATTTCAAATTGTAACATGAAACTTCATTTACCCTAAATAGCTTTAAACTCATAACAGTATACATCTATTTATACTTAAATTTTATTGCCCTTTGAACCTTAACTAATTACTATTCATGCCATTATAAGTTGTAAATTATTTGGTGAACATGCAGATCATGTTACACTATCGAAGTACACTGCACACAAGCTACTCTTAAGTGTAACTCATGAAACATTTTTAGTATATTTTTTCTCCTAATCTAACCTTAACTAACATAAAAAGCTTCCTATTTTTTTACATTTTATTTTTATAATAATAAAAAAAGAATACAAATGAAAAAAAAAAAAAATACTTACCTGGGTCTTTTTTTTCTTATGCTGTCAACTGTCAATGACACTTAATCCTACTTTTTATACTAATGGTAGTACTACACTAAATTTGTTATTTAATTAAATAATGCACCAAATAACACAGAATAACAATGAACAAAAAGCAGAAAATGTCCCATAACTATCACAATTTTTCTGGCTATCTAACTGTACGACAACAGCTGCTAAAAATTCATCTAAGCATGACTGTGGAAATTAAGTGTATTGCAAAGTTGTATTCAGAAAGAATAAACTAGTTTTATTTAAGAAAGGACTTGTGTCGCTAAAGTTTCATCGGAAAGAAATTATACGGGAAATTAACAGGATAAATTATTCAACCATATTCAAATTACGCAAAGACCTGTGTGTAGCACCTGCTTCTTAAGCATACACAGAACCAAATTTTTCTGTTTTGGTGATTTAACAGCCTTAAAACTAGTGTCTTTTTGAAGAACCACAATTTTCTGAAGTCCCTGTAGACTTCACTTAAAGTATTGTGACATTGTCACACAAAGTACACGGAGGAAAGTGTTTAGAATGTTAAATCTGTAACTTAGTTTTGTTGTTGTTTTTTTGAAGGCATGATCTCACTTCTATATATAATGGTACGACACTGATATGCCAAAACTAATACTTCTTCAGTTCTTAATTCAGTTAAATGAAAGTAAAACTAAATAAGAATTTGAAATAAACACTAAGTAGTAGCTAAATAATGATATTTGAAATGTAAATGAAATTCTGGAACTAAAAATAACACTAATTAATACTACTTACAGGAGCAACAGTTTTTCCTGCAACCAGACATGTGACATCTCCTCCAATCTTTTTGGCTGCTGTAATGGCATTTAGTGTGATGGGAACAAGTTGTTCATCTTTATGTTCTGCTATGACCAGGGAACTGTTGAATCGACTGATAACTGCCGAAATATTCTATACAAAGTAACAAAGAACTCTTTACTTTTTCAGGATCTAAAGATACATTAATATGTGTATGTGTAAAATTATATTCATATTATTGTTAAAAAGTACAGAAACGTTTCTCTTTTGCATGCTAAAATGGTATATATGTAAAAGCAATGCACATTTGCTCCACTAAATTTTTTTTATAAAAGAATTACATCAAAAGGATAAAGGGTTCTACCTGAACAACATCAATAAATAACACTTATGCCTAAAAACCTTAAAGATGATGTCATGGTGCTTTTAATGTAATGATATAATCCTGCTACTCTGAGCTAAAACAAATTTCAAAAATGTTTACAAAATATATTTGAAAAGATCAAGGTCAAGCATCTTTAATTGAAGTAGCTTTATTTTTCCAGTAGAATTGTAAATTTTGGGGACAAATTGCCATATAGAATGGCAGAGGCTACAGCTTTACACGAGTTTAAGAAACAGGTTGATCCATCAAGGATGTGGAATTCATATCATCCAGTACCCAGGACAAGAAGTTTTACCATTATACTTTGCCTTTTGGACAAGTATATATATATTTTTACCTGCTAGAAAAACACTCAAGGCAGATTTATAAGGAGCCATACACGTTCCTGAAAATTTTGAATTGCAGAAGTCTAACATGCACAAATACTTGAAAATGTCTACCTATAAACCTCAAATCAAAACTATATAAACAAATACATATTTTTGAATCCACAAACCCCCAGTCTCATACCCAAACATACTTAATGCAACAATATTATTACAATGCTTTTTGCCTGCAGTAAGAATCCAGTAAAATTTGACTACCAGCTACAGAAAGAATACACAACATAATGAAAATTACAACTAAACTTTTTACATATATATATATATATATTTATATATATATTAAGCCCCAATTAAGCTTGTGGCAGCATTATTGCAAACCATGATCCTTTCATTACCTGTGTGGGATATTCTACATGCTACACTGTAAAATTCTAATGACCAAATGTTAAAAACCATAAAATACATGAATGAATATATGTGAAACATTTAGATACAAAACTCAGTATACAACATTTCTGGCAAAACTGAGCTGCCAATGGCAATGTATTAATGGATATGCAACATAAGAAAGGCTTACGTATATAGTGTTGTGTCTAAAAATAAAATAATTTTGTAAAATTTTAAATAAGTAAACAAATGGTTTTATTTAATAAACAGCCCACCTTTTATCCTACAACATTTTTTTTAGCAAAAGCTGTAGAAAATATATCTGATTTTCTCTAAACAGGAAAATTTGATATACAGAATTTTGCATCTAAACTTCTTACGTGTATACATATAATTCATATATGATTACTAATATTCACATACATCTAGTTTATCCATTTCATACTAAAAAATCTAACAGCCAACAACAAAAAAGAATCGATGTTTCAGAACTTATGAATCAGTTTTTTTAAAAACATGTTTATGTTCTTACAGTACCTATGTGCCACATCTGCAAAGTAATGCATTTAAGGTCAATATTATGATAAATAACACAATTACAGTTGGGCTAAAATTCTGTCTTAAGCATCTAACTCTTAACACTAACTTTAGGATAAGCACTTAGTAATCAAGCACACAAGAAATACATGACAACTGCACTAGGAAACATTAAGCAGGCCTAGACTTACTTTATGTGATGTTAGACCTAAATAAAACAATATAATTTAAACTATTTATAGGGCTAAAGAAGATAATGTTCTTCTGAGAAAGGGTATGTTTTGAGATGCTTCCTTTCCATAGCATGCATCCACCTTTTTACATTTATACTGATTATCTCGATCATGAAAAGCAAAGCGTAAATAACCTGAAGTTTATAAGCAAGTTATGATTTTAATTTCTAATGCAACATAAGCAAAACCTACTTGTAAGTCATTTTTAAATGAATACTACAACCTGTAAATCCACATTTTAATTTTTGCTAACCAACACTTCTAAAAATACTACTTCAATTTTCAAATAATAAGACTCACTCTGTTCATTGCAATACATTGGATATCACTGTCCTACTAGTAATATTAATTCAGTGGAGGAAAATTCCCTCATATGAGCTTATTTCAAACAGCATTTTATTTTTCAAAATAAATCTTTATAATTATTAATTAGTTTTGATTATTTGGACAGGACTTGATGAATCACTGAACTTATGTCCAAATAATATTACGTAAAACTGAAAATTCATATATCATTATAAAACTAAAACCACAGAGTAAGACTTAACTGATTCTTAATTGCTACTTTCACACAAACAGGTTCAGGTAGATGTTTGACAAAAATTTTTTAAATAATTATAATGTTTATATGTATTACTATTAAACGAGATTATTTATGAAAAACTAGGCCTAATATTATTCCAGTTTTTTCACCTGAGTTAGTCTCCTCGAAAAAGTTTGTCTTAGGCCTACACAAAATATGTTCATTGTCGATAAATGTTAATGTTCTATACACCAAATTCTAAAGTTTTACTATATGTTACACTTTTGTTAAGATATTTAAAGCTCAAACTACAATTAGTGTTACAACATTCAAATTAAAAATTAATATAAGTTCCCAATATACAAATTCACACTCGCTGCATATTCTCCAATAGCATCAAATCTACACTTTGACCCTATCTAGTCTGACACGTGAGTGTCCTTGAATAACAAGGAATAATTTCTTTTAGATTTTCTTACAGTTTTCTTTCCCTATCCTAAAATTAAATCTGAAAACAAATGCATCAATACCACATATCTTTTAAATCCTATGTAAATATTGGTTTACTGTGTTCAGTAAAATTTAACTAAAAACAAATGCTTTTGTTTATTTCAGATATTCACACAAAGCTACACTAGGGCTTTTTGCGCTGGCCATCATATATCGCCAATTTTTGAACTACTGTAATCGAAAACTTGGAGTTAACCGTTACTCTTATAACACCCCCACGTTTCCATGGTTGATTTCCTGATAAATAATTTATTCAACATATTATCTGCCACATTATTTTATAAGTTATGGATAAGCTTTATTTTAACACTATAATCGAGCCCCACGTTTTAATTTTACCCGCTGTATTATTAAATTTGAACAGATTAGCTGTATAATCTTGCGGTAAAAATACTTTAACAGCTAAAACACATGTATATTTTAACTGAGCAGTTTAATTTTTAGAGGCAAGGCACTGATGAAAAACATCGTATTTTTAGATTTGCAAAACAAGAAATAATAATGATAAAAAATCCTAGCACTGATTTCCATTATAAAAACCTAATTGGTGTATAGAATTTTCAACTCGAACATTTTTTGTTTGAAGTTAAGCACAAAGCTACACAATTGGCTATCTGTGCTCTGCCCACCACGGGTATCGAAACCCGGATTCTAGCGTTGTAAGTCCGCAGACATACCGCTGTGCCACTAGGGTGGGGCGTACGGCGTAGAAAGTAGAAAATTATAAACTCTATAATCCGAGGGCTTATTCACAAATAAATATTAATCAAGGGCAAACTGTATAGAGCGTGTTCAGCAGCATCACCGCATGAATCTTGAACTTTCAAAATCCAGCCCAGAACACTAACCATTTGTTCTGATTCAACTCAGAGAGATAACTGACGAAAAGCTATACATTCCCCTTTTTTATGAGATTGAAAGCAGTCAATAGAATAGATTTAACTGATCCATAATTTATTTCACGGACTTCTAAGAACTTTATGATTTTAATAATGCTGTAATAGAAGAAAAATAAAATAAACTGAGTTATTGTTGTTTCTTGTTATTAAACACAAAACTACACAAAAGGCTATCTTGTACTCTGCCCACCACGGGTATCGAAACCCTGTTCTAGTGGTATAAGTTCGCAGACATACCGCTGTGTCACTGGGGGGGGGGGGGCAATAAATCGAGACCTTCAAAACAAGGAGAGGAAAACGCAATGGAGTATCTGTGCTGCGCCTACTACGGGTATCGAAACTCGGTTTTTAGCGTTATAAGCCTTCAAGTTTACCACTGAGCCATTGGGGAGGGGTATAACACAACTTACGAAATCTAAAAAAAAAAGAAAATCCAAAAGTATATAAAATTATTTCGATGTCTCATAAATAATTAAAACATTATGTTGTGACATTCAAAGATCGCATTATTATTAAAATGTGGACATTAAAGTGTTTAAAACTAATTTTTGCGTTTAAAATATGGTACAAAAATAGGTAGTTTTGTTTGTACACAGCGTGGTCACAAGTAAATAGACACCACCTTTTCAGAAAAAATGAAAGTTTCAGTCATATTCACATGAATTGATATATTTATAAGGTAATTAATATATAGTAGATCTTCCTTTCGCTTCGTGGAGTTCGTTGATCTCTTGGGGCATCGTGAGAATCATCTCGTCAATTTTAGATTGTGG